AAGCAAAGCTGGAGGGAAAAAGATGATCACTCAAGCTTCAGGAAACTGAAGAAGAGGACAGGAGAGAAAGAATGTAGGAAAAAGCAAAAGAATATCAAAATGAACTAGAAAGACTAGAGACAAATGTTCATTCATATGAAAATATCAAAAACTCAAGAAAGGCAATTGAGGAAATAGAGAAACAGGACAGGCAAAACAAAACCAAACAATGAAAGTCAAAACCTAAACAACCTCCTCCCTCAAAAAACCAATTTAAGGGCCACAGATTTAGCTCAGTGGTTCTGCTCCCTGCTTTGCAAGTACAAGGTCCCAAGTTCTATCCCTGGTACCAAAAAAAGAACCCAACTTAAAAAGGAAAATTAAACAAATTAATAAACCGAGAAAGAAGAAGAAAATTCCTCTGGTGCCCACAGTTCTGTGGTAGTGTCCAAGTCAGAGCCTAAATCTGTGCTGAGTAACTCCTCCAAGTCTGCAGTAGGATTAGTGCTGGGTGTGGGGCTGATCTTGGCCTCCAGATGTGGGGGCTGGGGCCAGTCTTTTGCCAGCAGCTTTCTGGATGGCCCACCCACATCTCCTTACCCTGTATATCTGTGTGGTGCTCTCAGACACAGCCCCAGGCTGCTCCAGTCCCGTGTACAGTTTGCCCCTATTGGACCTTGCACAGCTTCAACTCTTACACACTGCTGGCTCCTCTCATGTGCTTTCCTTGCTGGTTGGAATTCAGAGGAGAATGCTGAATTCCCAGCCCAAGGCTGGTTGCAGGGTGAGGGAGTGCTGATTTCCCACACCTCCTCGCTGCCTAAGGCTGCTTGCACCACTAGTCACAGCTGCATCTAAGGTCCCAGTCCCTCTAGCGCCAGTTGCCCAGTCCTAGGGGAGGAGGGGTGGTGTTGTTCCACCACTACTATGATCCTCCAACTTGCCAAACTTGTCACTAGAGGTTCCAGTTAGCTGCTATGGTGCAGGACAGAACAACAACAACAACAACAAAAATAAAACAACTGGTGACCCACTGGGGAGAGAACAGCTTCCTGGTCACTTGCCTCTGTGTGTGCCAGGGAAATTTGTTGCAGACTGCAGTGTCCCCTGTTTGTAGGAAAGCAAAAGCAGTGAGGGGCCTTATATCCCAGATATATCCTGTGTGGATTGAGTTTGCCACACATTTGCCATCTATCTGTTTTTTGGAAACTTCCCAGGAATGGCGGTTCTTGCACTACTTGCAGGCAGTAGACCCATGGGCAGTCTTGTGGACTAGATAATCGTTTTATAAGGTCCTATGCTTATGTTTTGTGTGATCTACAAGTTTCTTATTTCAGATTGATTTTGGCATCAGAATGTATGTCCTTCCCTTTCTTCCAATTACCTGTGTTTTGTAGTTGATTTTCTCTGACTAGCTCCAATGTGGCTCCTCCTCTATTCAGCCATGTTGAATCTTCCCCTATTTTGGTTTTCTGAAACAGGGTCTCACTATGAAGTTCAGGCAGGCCTCAAACTCACTATGTAGCCCAAGCTGGCCTTGAATTCACAGTGATCCTCCTGCCTCAGTAGTGCTGGGACTACTGTACAGGGATGCACAGGTTCTTTTGGAAATTGAAGAAAATCTGTTCTATTTTCTTCTGCCCTCTATCAGTTCTAATGAGAAATCCACAATTATTCAAACCATTATTCCATATAATTAATGTACTATTTTTCTCTGCTACTTTTCCAAGATTATTTTCTTGGTTTGTTGTGGTTGTTTTTAGTAGTAAGTGTAAGCAATTATTTTTATTATCATTATTTGGCTTATCCCCCTTGGGATTCACCAGAAACCTGGAACTTGGAGCTTCATTTGCTTTGCAGTGCTTTGCTGCCTACTTCCAACAATTGCATCTATATCTGGAGCCACATGGTAGAGGGACAGAAAGAGACAAAAACCCACAGAGGCTCCTCCTCACTCAGGACCACAGCTATTCTGATTGAGAAATTTCTCCCTCACCTCACCCAGAGGCACCTGTGGGTTCCTGCTGTCACAGTGCTACTGCAGGATTACCTGGGCACTGGTTTGTAAGACAATGGAGAAAAGATTTAAAAAGAAAAGGAAAATGATTTCCCTCACTCAGTCTTAACATCAGAAATTACCTTTCCTAACCCTCAAGTCAGAACTAGGGGGATTTTTGAGAGCTTGCTCTGTGCTGATTTCTAATTTCTGATTTTTAATCTGTCTTGATACCAGGTTAGGAAGTATCAGAGGAAAAAATTCATAAATTCACCACTAATGTAGTGATTCATCAAATCTTCCTTTTTCCCTATTTGCCTGCTAGCATCTTCTCTTCAGACTTCTCAAGTATCTGGCACATGTATTTTGTTAAGGTTTCACTGCTGTATTCAGTGGGAGGAGTGTGGTTACTAAGAACTGGAATGAAAATTGCTTTGGAATCTAAAAAACATATTGAGTACTGTATTTCTCAATTAGTATAAAACAAAACAAACTACTGATTTCTTTGGAATAATTTTATCTTATTTTATGTTTACAATCCTCATTTGTTGCAAACACTGATTCTTTTCTCAGTCACCTGCTTTCTAATCCTTAAGAGAATTCTTTACTAGCTAATGCCATGCCAGATGGGAGCAATGTGGGTGAAAGAGTTCGCTTGTTTTGGGAGTGGTCCTCATGAAGATTTCTGGGAAATGTAGTCTTCTAAGTACTGAGCAAAATAAAATATGGGAGAAAGACAAAAAAATGTTTAATGACAGTATTAGAAATTTTCTCCTAAATATATAGTGATTACATGGCTTTCTTGGATTTGCTTTAAGTGTAAAGAAATCACTTACTTATAGGGCCAGGGATTTAGTTCAGTAGTTCTGCCTGCCTTAAAAGAGAAAGGTCCTGAGTTCAATCCCCGGTACCAAAAAAAAGAAAAGAAGTCACTTATATAACTTAAGTGGGCATGAGGACAGATGAGACATTTACCCAATTAACTTGCTAATACAACATTAGGTTTTTTAGATAGCAGGCCTCAACATTTCATGTAGCTTTCTCAACTACAATTTCCTACTCCTGCTACAATTGGTCTGCTAAGTTTTCCCACAATACATAATACAATGATGGCCATCTGATTGAAAATTCAATTTTCTGAATAAAGGAAAAATATAATTAATACCAAAAACGTAGGCATTTATTCCAAAAACTGACCAATTTACTGTAAATGAGCACTATAGTGAAAGATTTAACTTTGAAAAGTAAGAAAAAAATATTTGTTTTTTGAGGCAGTGTCTAACTATGTATTCCAGGTCATCCTTGAACTTACTATGTAGCCCAAGATAGCCTCCAGCTTTCAGTGATTCTCCTTCCTCAGCTTCCCGAGTGTGGGGATTATAGGCAAGCTCCACCAAGCCCAGCAAAGAAATTCAAAATAATTTCTTCAAGTACATTTTAAATATTAACTACTGTATTGCTTACCAGGTCAATACTACAGAGTTATGATGTAAGTCAGTGAAGTTACTATATGAAGTATTCTCTTGGGAAGTCAGCTTGGAGCAAAGAGTAGAGGAAACCAAATTCAGCCTTGGCAAGAGTAGAGAGTTAGGGATGTGAGAGACATCAGGCATAAAGACTTCCTTTAGGCATAAAAACAGCATCTGACTGAATACCCCTACAAAAAACTAGGGCCTATGGGGCCGGGGATTTAGCTCAGTGGTTTCGCTGCTTGCTGCGCAAGCACAAGGATCCGAGTTCAATCCCTGGAACCAAAAAACAAAACAAAACAAAAAAAATCAAAACTAGGGCCTAGAATGCTGTCTGCATGTTTTCTCATTCACTCGGCCAATATTTATCGAATACCTAGTACCACTATTCTAGGCACTGAATATGTAGCAATGGAAAAAACAAAGTTCCCTCCCTCATCAAGTGTTCTAGCAGGGGTGATAAATGAAACAAGTAGTAACTATGTCAGCTGGTAATTAAATACAGCAAAACTAGGGCAAAAGAGAGTGGGGGAAGAAGGGGTTAGTACTTTATGTAGGATGATCAAGGAAGGCCTCTTTGAGACAATAACACTTGAGCAGAGACCTGGAGGAAATGGAGGAGCAAGACACAGCAATATCCGGAGTGCTCCAGGCAAAGGGGACTGCAAATATAAAGGTCCAGAAGTGGAAGCCACAGCAAGGGAGACAGTTTGATAGGAGCTGAGTGACAGGGAGTTCCAGTAGGAGGAAGTCACAGAGATGGGCGCAGATGACAAGAGATGCCAGGGTTGATGGTCTCGACCAAGCAATGACTGATGAGACACGGCTGGTTCAGAAAGAGCATCTTCCTACTGCACCTCACTTCCCAAGGTGAACCAGATGGGAAACTAGACCCAGAGAGTAAGTTAACTCATCTGAAGATCATGACTAGAAATACAAAGTGGAAACCCAGTGTCCTGAGTTTTTGATTCCCTTAGGATATTAAATGAGACCAGAGAGGAAAGACCCATAATAACCCATAATTGCCTTAGGTTGTGAATGCTAATTTTTCTATCTTACCAGTGAGTCACTATTTTAATCACAAAGGAAATATTTTTCTGTCCTTAGATATTTAAGATTCCTGCTATCAGGTGCTCTTCACATTAAATAACCATAATACTGTAACTTAGTTTGGGGGAAAAACGTTCCTAAAAGCAGTCAGATAAGCTTAGTATTTAACACAGGAGACGCTATGTGCCAGGGAGTGAGATTGGTGTCATCATCCCATGTCACGGATGAGAAGGCTGAGGCTCAGAGAGATGAGGGAACTTGCCCAGCGTCACACAGCCTGTCAGAAAACCCTTTCTACTAAGCCTGTCGCCCAGCTTCACCTACAGGCTAGCTGCAGGTGAGAGACTACCTCTCTTCCCACGTGCTAGCGCCCCACTCCCCGACCCTCAGGAGCGAGGAACAACTATCTCTTTAAGAAGGAAAGTGAAGACGGGCCGCTGACGCAGCTGCCGACGGCGAGCAGCCGACTGGCTCGTCCCCTGCATCCACCTCTCCCTCCCCACCCTCCTCCCGGCAGCCCCAGCCCCGGCGAGCACCCGGCCAGCCACCTCCAGCAGGGGCTCCGGAGAGCTTCCCGGCGCCCCGGGGAGGGCAGCCAAAGCCATGGAAGCCTCCGCAGGTGATGACAGGGACCCCGGGACCCTCGGGGGCCCACCGCCCAGCGGCGCCCGCCTCGTTCCAGAGTGCCCGGTGCCGGGGAAGATGGGGGCCCGGAGCTGCGGACGGAGCTGGCAGCCGGCAGCCTGTCTCCACGGTTTTTAGCTGCAGTGGTCCAGCTGTCAGAGGCCGGGGGTTCAGCTGCCAGGGCGTCCTCCGCCCGCTCTCACCCGCCCCTGTCTGTCTCTTTCCCCATCGCCGCAGGTTGCTGATCCGAGGCGGGCGGCTGCAGCAGCGACTGCAGAGGCGCTGCGCCAAGCGGGCCAGAGTCGTGCAAGCTGGCGGGACTGCGGAGGGCAAGCGGACTCAGGTGAGGAGGCCGCGGGTGCAGCGGAAAGCGACTGGGGGCAGCTTGTCACGCTTGCTGCGGTAGAATCCCTGCGGGGGGGGGGGGACACCAGCCAGGAGGCATGGATCCTGACTCATCTTACCCTCCTTTCGTTCTCCTACATCCTCGTAAGCACCCCACTCCCACCCATGAAATTGACCAATTAGAGGATGCTGATTGCAGTAGGGAAATAGCCCAAGGTGGGCGATTAGGAAGGTGTTGGGGGAACTGGCCCTCCCCATTGCTATTTGTCTTCTGACATTTGGTGAGTGCACAAGCTTCTCTTTGGAGCCCCGCACCCACCCCAAGGTCAATTGCAAACGACTGCTTCCTTGCCATAATCCCCAGTGTGAAGCACCAGGGCCCTGCAGTAGATCTGGAAAAAATGTTCATGACCCCTGGAATGAGAGTTCTGATTCTCCATTCTCCCTGGAGCTTCTATGGGATGTGCTGCTTTCTCCTCCACTCCCCAGCAGAGAGCAGCACTGTTTGCAACACTGCTAGCCCAGGAAGTGTCCTAATCCCTGTCTCAGCCCTGCAGACTCAAGGAGAGGCCTGGTCATATGCTGCCCTCTCCTTGGCCTTCTCTGTCCATCCGGTGGGCTGGGCTAGGGGAGCTTCCCTGAAAAAGATCTCTGCAGGTAGAGTCATGTACAGAAAGTGCCAGAGATTCGGAGTCTCGGCCTTTCCCTTACTAGTTAGCCAAAGTAGCCATCTTAAAATTCTTTAGGTGAGGGTGTCTGTTTACCTGTCTGTTAAATATAGGAGTTGGATTAAATGGTCTCTACAATTTTAAAGTACCACTCAAGCTGGTCTTAGGGGTTGGAGGACCTTCTACTAAAGCAATTTAAAATTAAGTCTATGGACTAATTGGGGTTTCCTCAGTTAATCTCTGAACTCTGGACTTCTCGAGTGAAACACTGACCTTGTGGGCCTCATTGCACTGGCGGTGTCAGACATCCCCACAATATTGAGCTACTCTCCTTCCCCAAGCTTCAGCTTCCTCATCTATAAACCTGGGAAGAGGGATACATGCCTCAGAGGGTTGTTGTGAGGCTTAAACAAGATGTACACAAAAGCACCTCAAATGGGGGGCTTGGCACATATGAGGGACGCAGGAGATAGACTAGGAGAGGGAGGAGGGTGGCTGCTTTGAGTCCTTACCCCTTTTCTCTATCCTCCACCCCCACCGGTCGCTTCCACATCCTTGCAGATGGTGTCCCTGCCAGGGAATAATGAATGTTGGAGTGTGTTGGCCACCAGACTGAGAGCCTAGATGGCAATCAGGAGGTACTAACATCTCCAATGCGAGGGCTGTGACATAGTTCTAGCAAATGATGGTCCCAAAGAGGCATATGGCTCAGCCCTGGGTTTGGAAAACCTGGCATTTATGGGCGAAGTCCCAGTCTAAAGGAACAGAAGCATCTGAATCTTGTGCACTGGCAGGGGAACAGGGACTAGGTTTCCACACAAATCCCACTGCTGTTCTCCTGTCCTCTCCAGAATCTCTCCCTAGACTCTCACCAAGACAAGGGAGGCAAGATTTGGTGCCTATATTTTCTATTTCTTATTGTTCTTTGTGCTGTTATTTCCAGCCTACACTCAGCCTTTCTTGCTGAGTGTCACACAGAGACCACCTGCCTTTTGACAGCATGATAAAAGAGGTTCCCCACAGGGTGGGGCAAAGCATTTTGCTGCTGCAACAGTTAGGGCAAAAGAAATCACCATGTCCTCCCTTTTCCCTAAATCCCTGTTAGATTTGAGATCCTTTTGGCAGAGGCCTGGGCTTTTCCTCTCCATCTCTAGCCTCTGGCCCATGGCTAGGCCTAAAGTATGAACTCTATAAGTGTTGAGTTGAAAATATTTGAGGAAATGACATTCCTAAAGCAGTAAGATTGGGGAGAAATGGCAATGTATCAATGGTGTAGGAGAGAAGACATTCAAGTGTAGGACCCTGTACAGGTGTTGGTTATCACTATTATTGCTATTACTAATACTGTGATTATTGACACTGCAGTGATAACAGATACTTTACCTGCTCTTCTAGGGCACCTGAGTAGGGCTAGTGGGGTCAGATGTGCCTGGGAAGGTGGTAATGTTAGCAACCAGGGATCCAGATGGTGCTGACTGGTGTAAGACATGTTGGTGAAGGGAAGAAACCTGGGAACAGAGCCATGCCAGCCACTGCTGTGTGCAGATCAGAACAAGGGGGCCTAGACAGGTGAGCAGTAGAAAGTCATGAGACCAGGTCCCAGGTCTCATTCAGCTACTGCTTCATTGCCTGACCTTGGTACTATCTGCACCCCACAAGGTCTCTGGGTCCCTATTTATATACTCAGGGGACTGGACTAGATGGCCCTGAAGGTCCCTTCTGGCGCTGACATTTTGTCAAGTGGACTCTAAAATAAAAGAGGACAACCACTTATTTCTCTTGATACTATTTATGGGATGCCAGGCCATTCCCTATCTCAAGTAATCCTCATAACAGTGTGTACCTATTTAAACATGCGGAGACTGAGGCTTAGAGAGATTAAGTGTTGTTCCCATGGCTGCCCAGCCAGAAGTAGTGGGCCTGTTCATCTGACCCCAGGTGAGAGTGTGTGCTCTTCCAAAGGTCCCGCTGCCTCCTACAGTACCTAACTGTCGCATGAGCTCTGTGCACTTGTGCATATGTATGGGGTTCAGAGACAGGAAAGCTGAAGGATTTATGATGGGAGATCAGGAATTTCTCCAAGTGATCCCTGCAGAGGACTTACTGGTTGAGTTGAAGCATGTATGAGTCACAGCTGCAGAGTTTTTGCCATAAGCTCTGCTTTGCTGCTATGTGGTGGACACCCCTTTAACAAAGAAAATGGTTGGGTCTGAATCCTAGTCGTGACAGACACACACTTTTTTTTTTTTTTGCTGTGCTCTGTTTTACACAAGTCCTGTTATTTACTCCTCAGACCATCCCAACATGTTGGCACTATGTATAAATTTACCTATTTTACAAGTAATAAAATCAGGGCAGAGAAGCCAAGGGTCCTGCCCAGGTTTGCACAGCTGCACGTTATGGGACCTGGAGAATGCTGAGCAGAAAGTACACTGGGCTAAGAGGCAAAGGGTTGCTTTTAGTCCCCCCACCCCTCACTGCCTGAGTGACCTCGGTTAAGCCAGTTTCCTTCTGAGAGTCAGTGTTCCCAGCTCTCAGATGGAATGGTTGCATCTACCTACTAGTTCTAAAAAGCTTAAATGCAACTTTATTCCAGAATGGGGAGTTGAGGGGATCCCTAGTTTTGCTGAACATTAATCAGTGTCTGTTACTGAATATCAGCTAGGTCCTGAGCTGGTGCATAGGATATAGGAAAGAGTGAGAGGAAAGTGGATCCCTGGTTCCAAGGAGCTCACATCTAACAGAAGGAGACAAATACCTAAAGATGTAAGTGTGGGAAAATGTCTAGGATCTGTGAGGCATATTGATAGGATGGGGAAATGGAGGAGTAGGGGATGGTCTCTCTTATTGTTTTAGTTACTTTTCTTGTTGCTGAGACAAAATACCTGACACTCAAAATTATAGAAAGAAAAGTTTATTTGGCTCACCATTTGTAGAGGTTTCAGTTCATAGTTGACTGACAGGGTGGCATGGCAAAGGGCCATTGAAGAGGAGAAACAGTTCATGGCAGGCAGGAGCAACAAGCAACGAGCCTCTTTCTGTCCATTATATCTTATTCAGGCCACCCACCCTTAGCGTGAGTAGCACTCACACCCTTAATCCTAGGATCATATCCTTTTTCCTAGCATCACACACCCTAGATTCAGCCACCTCTGGAAAGCCCTACCTATGACTGCATGAGGCTTGGGGGGGAACATCTAGATACAAGGCCTAACACCTACCAAGTGGTGGGGATGGCTTTAGTGAGATGATGCCACTGACGTCTTATTCCCTATACTGAGTTTGGGAATAATAATAATGATAATAATAGGATTTTGTTCAATTTTGGACATTTCCAAACCATCCTAAAGACTCATTGGCTCTTGTCCCCAGCAACTCACAAAGTGGCCATAGAGTCTGAGGGACCATCCAAGCTTACACTGGTGCTGTTCTAGTGAACTATCCATTTGTTTCAGGTGAACCAGGACCTTTTCTGTCTTTGGATGCTTTTAGAACCAGGACTCTTAAATTCCATTTGGAAGTCCTGTCTAGTGCCCATAACCATCTAGCAGGCTTGGGGGATCCTCTCTCCTGTCTACTCTCAACATTCCACCTGTCAGGAGGAGCAGCTGACACCCTGGGAGATGGGACATTTACCCATGATTACTTGGCAGGCTGGAGCCACAACCCTGACCAATGGAGATTACACTTCTCACCCACATGGGGCCTTTCTACATCTAGGCCACTGGGGGACTGAGGGGCATTGCTTCTTTTGACGGACAGATGGTGCTGAGTGAAGGTTTGATGCAGATGATACTGAACTGAGGGCCATGAGAGTAGAGCTGGGGGCTCTGTTCCCCCAGCTGTTTTGCATCCTTAATGGGCAGATATTTATGAAGAGTTTGTCACGTGCCAACCACTGTCCTCTGATTGAGATGCTAAGCCAACCAAAAGGGAGTTTCTGGGAAGCAGACTGGTGCAGTGGAAAGAGCCATCACTGAGGAGTCAGCACTGAGTCCTGAGCCTGGCTCTGCCATCAGCTCTCTGGGTGGCCTGAGGTCAGGTCCCTTCTCTTCCACCCTGTAAAATGGGAGGCAGAAGCACTGTTTGATAAGGGCTGTTCGTCTTCTGGCAGGCTAACAGTCAGAAACCCTTTCTTATATGCTGTACCTGCTTTAGGGACTGTGAGGGTGGACAAGGGACAGGTACCTGTAATTTGAGAAAGAATAAGATAAACGTAACAAGAGGGATGAACAAATGCCCTGTAGATTTGCTGAGGAGAGGGATTAGGAATGGTTTTTTTTTTTACTTTTGTACCAGGGATTGAACTCGGGTCCTTACGCTTGCAAGG